ACCCATTTTTTCCAAGTTACCAGTTTACGATATTTGTAGCCACACGCTGTTGTTTTCTGAAGTACAGTGAGAATGCTACAGTGACAATTCTCCTTTGGTCTCTGAACAGAGCTGCCTCCCAACAATTTCTGTTCCTCAGCCATGATTGTGTCACGTGATGCAGGGAAGGGCACCATTTCTTGCAGTGTTGTCATGGCACTGGGCCTCTGTAGAGAGGTGCTAAATCATAGTGAAAAAATTGGGGATTGTGTCATGCTGTACAGTTGCAAAGTCAGCTGCTCAACCTCGCTGAAATCATTTGGAGAAAAGATCACCCGGTGGGATATTCCTCTCTCATGAAAAGTATAGTCCCAAAATTCTACAACACACCTATACGGCCTAATTTTGGTCCCAACAAGTATTCTGTTTGGATGGTTTGCCTTTTTGTTGGTTGACCCTCTACACATGTGCATTAGTGTTGGAACATTTTACAAATATTAAAGGACCAGTGTGTAGGATAGTGGCATCTAGCGGTGAAGTTGAATATAGCAACCATTTGAATACTACATCTTTCCAAGTGTGTAGGAGAAACTACGGTGGCCACGAAACTCGCAGCGCCAGCGTTCTGGGCTACTGTAGAAACATGTTGGTTCAACATGGCGGACTCCTTAGAACAGGGGCGAGATTCTAAGGTAACAAAACACAATGATTCTTATTTTCAGCACTTGCCACCTTTGTTGTAGAGACATAACAATTGCAACAACAACCCCCCAAAAGAGCATGAGCCTCCAAAGCTTTCCAAATAACATACATTATACATACATCCACCCTGGATTAGCTATTGCTAATAGCTACTGCAGCCAACTGTACACTTTCAGGACAAGTAGAATCTACGTCCAAAAATATCCTGAAAGGTTTTGATTGCTTTGGGAGAGTGAACGCTGCTACTTCTCCAGCTGTCCACATGCTAAACCCACAGTGTCATATAAAGGCCGTGTGAAGATGAATAGGCAGCTAGTATGGTTAGCTGGCATGGTTCCCAGAAAGTAGATCTGACTCTGTGCAGTCAGCTGTAATAGCTAATCTAAGGAGCTAATATGTGTTTACTTTTAGACTCAAGAGACAAGCATTTGACAGCTTAAGGAGGTTTGGCTGCTTAAGAATGTCTACAATGGAGGTGGTGAGTGCAATGTTAGCATGACCCACAGTCAGAATGGACACAGTCATGAGGAAACAGGATATAACATCATTCTCTATGTTACTGCTCTATATTGTAATGCCACCTATTGTGTTCAGAGCTGTAGGTTGACAAATGTTGACTTTGCTCTGGCTATGGAAGAGAAGAGATGGCATCATTTGCACCTCTCACTCTCACTCTGTCTCACCTTCTCCTTTTTAGAATGTCTGATTGTCTATACTTCCCTATCACCATGGCAACCACATCCATCCATCCATCTATCTATCTACATCTACAGTGGTAAGGCTTCTTCTTAATACATTTAGCACAGAAACAACAGCTCTGGCACAATCATTAGCAGCTGACACCTTATAAACGAGCTCCACTCAAAATGTAAATCCAAAGACGCACAAATACACACAAACACACACACACTCACACGCTCACTGACACAAAAGCACACACACCGGTATCCAGACCGAGAGCTGTATTGGATTTTTAATTGAACCGACAGCACCGCGTCCATATACCCACAGACACTGACACATCAATACCCCTGGACCCACACTCTTCTGCACACACAAAAACACACCTCTAGTCTGTGGGTATTGCTCATTATTAAGTTGGATCATTATGTAGAAATAAGCCCGGCAGTTTTGGCCTCCTGTAACCTCTGTGCCTTTTCATCAGTCAGAAATGAATTATCTGAGATCTAATTACACTCAGGAATTCTGACAAAAGACAGTCAGGCTCACTTCTCCACTACACTTTCAATCAAGAGTGGTACGGGTTAGCTCTTGTAGCCCCTTCAGAAATGTTTTGATATTTTATTTTAATAGTTGCACTGCTAGGGCAACCAATTTCCTCGCATGCAAGACACGCATGTTTAGTGGAACTATTAACAAGCCTTTTCAATTTTCAATAGAACCAGTATCCATTTTATATTCTTTAATTCTGTTTTGAGTTTTTTTATTATATAACCTCAAGATTAATTGGACAATCAACTTGTGCTAAACATGCACCATCAAGAAATTACAAGTAGTAGAGTATATTCAGAAACATGCAGAACAGAAATGACACTAATGGCACAATACATAGCAGTGTAAGGCTTCACAGACTGTGGCATTAAAGGATACATGTTTAAGATGTTCAAGTTACACCTTCACTCAATTGGTAAGGTTAACCTTAGCTATAAGACAGAGGGAGCTATACACCACTTCACAGTCTCTGTCACACTTCTCAGTGATTGGCAGGTCTGTCTTTTGAAATAGTCCTTTCTCACCTGTCTTGTGCACTTCACTTCCTGCCTTTGTCTTTTTCCCACCTCTTTTCAGTTTTGCCTAGTTATCCTACTCTCATTAGTGTTTGTGTTTCCTTGTTTCAATGCCAGTTCTTCTTTGTCAGTTTGTTGAGCGTTTCTTTGTGTTTTTTAGACTTTATATCTCGGTGTATGCACTTTCTGCTTTATTTACTGGATTTTTGCCTGCCCAATTTGATTTTGGTTTGCCTCAGGGTCTTGAAGGTTTATGTGCCACTGCCATTTTGTATATTGAATCATCTGAACTTGACCAGCCGTGCTTTCAAGAATGCTACTCCTTGAGTTTCTACCACCCTTTTGACACGTTTGTCTATGTTTATATTATATAAAACGATTTAACTGCATTTCGACAATATATATGGGGTATATTATACTCTATATTGTGGTACATTGCTGACAACAGTGATGTTACTCTCCAGATTCTCTCAAAACATCAAATAGAGAAAGTAGAGATTGTGTTTTCTCTGGAGAACTGGCTTCATTTAGTCATCCTTACTATTTCAAGTCCTGTTAAAAATACTGGACAAGACAGATAAAATGGAAAACAATTCCCTCCATGTGGAAGCAAATAAGGCCATTGTGCTTGAAGAGCATTTCACACAGGCATTTCAGATGCTGCACCTGGATTCTGTAAAGGCTCCCAATTGAGCTCTGTGGTATCATTTCATCACAAGAAGACATACTGACACACAACCCAATGTGATGATTGAGAGATAGCACAACGTTCAAGGGTGTACTCTCACCCACTGCATGCTGGGATACACTACACTATAGGAGCGGCGTTGCTGAATATGATGAGCAGGAATATGTAGACTTGGATGGATGCACTGCTGCTGCACAGTCAACAACGTGACATCTACTCTATTGGTTACCAGGGCAACTGTACAAAACCTTAGACATTAAAAACTGCCATCAGTGCCATCAATGCCATAACCACAGTCTCAATAGAATAGCATTCATATTGAGCTTGGAGTAATCAGGAATTAAGTAGGAAGGAGAATTCACATTCAGAAAACTTCAGTCCAATAGTTAATTTCTCCCGTTTTAAAATCAATATTAGTCTACACAGGGTATAATCTCCTGTCCAGTGGCAACCTCATTTCCAAAAGCAATAAGGCTTGTGTTCGCAGGTTTAAAGATTATCAGTGTTTTGTAAATAATACATATTTTACATTAGTAACACAACAAGCCTTTAGTTAATGGATTGTTTACTCAAAATGAACTAGATTCTTTTATCACTGTAGCATGTAATTATGTGTCAATAGGATAGTGTTTTATTGCTGCATATTACTATAACAGCCACATACCTTCTTGCTGAACTGTTGCTGCTCCCTTGTGTAATCCTCACAGGGAATAGGGAAACTTTTGAGTCGGAGGATTGCTACAAACAGCTTTATGCTTCTTATATGTGAGATCAGATGCCATCTTGTCTCAATTACACTTAAAGCTCTTTGATAACATCCTAAATTTAATGGCTCAGCCAACAAGGACATGTGGTGTGTGTGTGTGTGTGTGTGTGTGTGTGTGTGTGTGTGTGTGTGTGTGTGACAGACCAGACTTCAAGTCAGTCTGTGTGTGTCCTTATCTCTTTCCATTCACTGAAGCACAGGTTTATACAACTGTGTGCTCTGAGTGCCTTGATGGTCACTGTGAAACTAATATGCAAGTCTTTACAGCGGCGGGGTCCATTAAAGCAGAAATCGATGCCTGAGAAATGACTGGAGGAAGCTTTAGAAAGTAGAAGAAATGATGAAGAATGAGGAGCAAGGACCGATAACATTGACTTGAAAGGTCATGGCTCATAGACCAGCATTTAAAAAGGGACAAGGGCTAGCTAGCTTGGGACACTCTTGACGGATCACTACGACCCGCAAGGCGAGGGTCACGTGACCAATGGATGCCGGCGAAGGAATCAGTAGGCAAGGTTTTGGTAGGATCCCTACCCTGTCTACTTGTACTGGAAGGTAAGCAGTGAAAACAAACAAACTTTTTAAAACATCTAAGATGCATTTACTGTTAATTGTTGCAAGTTCTGTGATGAAAACAGCCTAACAGTGGCGTGCACGGGGGGGGCAGCCCAATTGTTGAAAAACGCATGCTAAAGTGCCCTCTTGGGAGCCGAAACGTGTGCTAAACTGCCCTCTTGGGAGCCAAAACGCGTGCTAAACTGCCCTCAAGTGCCCTCTTGGGAGCCAAAATGCGTGCTAAAGTGTCCTATTGGGAGGCGTGCTAAAGTGCCCTCTACAGTGGTGAGGACGCGCTATATGTGCCCTTTTTTCCCTTCCGCCCCTGCCCTTCAAAAGGTCTGTGCACGCCACTGCAGCCTGATGTCTTATACTCTTTCCTGGTTCATGTAGGAATCCTCCCTGTCACCAGTCCTGACTCCACTTACCCTATCCTTTTTAGGATGGAAAACATTTATTTCCCCCTCTATAATAATTAAAAGATTATGTTACCGGTTATTATGTTACTGGTTTGTGGTTCCTATGTGAGGAAGCCACCATGAGAAAATAGCACTTATCTTACCTGTAATAAGAAGTCAAAGAGAGCCAGTCTCCCCCACTCCGAGTGGTGAACTCCCACACAGGGCGCTGACCTCAGGTCTGTTTCTCTCCCACAGTGCACCTGCAGCAGCTTCTGGTACTGGACCCAGCTGAGCGGTACTGAGTTCTGGTCGTTGTCTCTATCAGCCAGGTGCTGAATGTCTGGATCCCACCACACTACAGGTCTGGGGGTGCCGCTGATGTATCGATACGGTAAAATCTCACTGTGGAAAGTCCTCAGCACCGCAGGGAGACTTCTGTTGAGTCCCAGCACCCTGTCCAGGTGGAAGGCAAACACTTCAAACCAGTCATCAGTGCGTTTGATCAGGGAGCAGTGCCCCTGCTGGCAGCGTTCACCGTGGGTTTCTGGGTGTCTGTGGCCAGGTCCATGCTGACCTGAATCCCTCTTTGGTGATTGCTCCTGTGATGTAGAAATACAGTTATATATTGCTTTGTCATTTAGTTTTTATTTCTAAAACACAATTTTGTATTAAACGCCACAGTCACTATCTAGTGCCTGAGGCTACAGCCATTCGTTTTGTTGAAACAGCTTCACTTGTGAAAATGTAAATGCATATAAAACAATTAAATAACTTTTGAGCCAGCTGGTTATTAATAGCACCAGGTCTGTCCTCAGCCTTCTACATAGAGAGGAGAGCTGTTTAGACTTTTGATATGAACCTGAAAAACTCAAGTGATCTACTATGGTGCCCACCTTTATAGGGCCATACCAGTGTATTTTAGAGTTTTAGCAAATCATGTATACTCAACAACTGCTCACCATTTTTAACCAGATTTATATTTTGATGTATTTTTCTTCTGTTTCCAACCTTTCCAATCTTCTGCATTCATTTCTATCAGTGTATACATACCATGGTAATGCAGTTTAAGAATTAAACAGAAGTTATTCAGTATTTTTCTTTTCTTTTTCTTGTCAACAAAGCCGTCAGAGCAAAACCAACAATGATGTGAAGGGAGGGGGAGGTGTGGCCGACAAGTCCATTTGTTTTGGTCTGAGATGCTGGTGCTCTGGTGTTACATTTAGTGTGTTTAGCACCTTTTTAAGGTCTGCCAAAAGAAACAGCATCATGTTATTTGTTTGGGTTGAGGGCCAGTACAAAACTAACATGTTCATTGCTATGCAGGCCTGGAATAACTGATATAAAATCAGTGCAATTTAAAGCACAACTACAATATTAGTCAATATGTACTTTATTCTCTTCATGTTGTTGATGTTGTCATTCCGTTTCTCCATATTGCAATTCAATTCATACCTAGTACATGTCTGTCCATCCTGGTGAAGAACCAAGCGTCTAAGAAAAGAGGGTGTCATATGCATAGACTGTATAAATTAAAATGGACATAGTCTCTGTTATTTCACCCATAGATTTCTGAAGAGAGTTGTGAAGCTCAGTGTGGTCGGCTTTGCCATCTTGGCAGTTCTGACTCTGCCCGTTTTTGGATTAGCCAGGAGGTGGTAAAGAGGTGGAGCGTGGGTGGAGCTGAGGCAGGTGAATGAAGCCTGGTTTCTGAAAACAGCTGCCTGTTGTCATGGGGAAATTGGGCTTTTAATATGGTGCCTTATGGAGATTGACTTGCTTTGGGAGCCAGCCTCAAGTGGCCATTTGAGGAACTGCAGTTTTTGGCATTTGCGCATTGGCTTCATTTTACAGCCAAGGAGCCTGCTGGGTCATATGTTGTCTCAAAGCTCTCTGAGACAAGCTTGTGATTTTGGGCTTTATAAATAAAATTGCTTTGACTAATTTGAGGACACCACCAGGTCATAAGTGGCTTGTTGACTCACTTGTGATTTGTAACAGCTGTTCCACACAGAGCTTATGGTCAAAGTATGTGGCTGGGAGATAAACAGTCTGAAAAGACAAATCCAGCCACACTATGTGACATTTCATATGATCTCTGAATCTTATCATTAAAAGCAATCAAACTGTGTACCTGCTGGTGTGCAGGAGGATCCAGCGCCACCTGGAGAACCTGTCCATGTGCGGGCACCCTGGCCTTATTGACCAGCTTGGCCCCAGAGAGGAGCACCATCTTCTGGATGTCATCCTCGCTGAGCCAAGGGAGAGAACGGAGATCTGGACTAATCCTGATCCTCCTGTGGTCACTGTCTGGGAAGTCCTGCTCTGTAAAGCTCCGACACCAGCCGCTGTCAACTTTCTTTATGGCTGCCTCAGCTTTGGACAAAGCCTTTCTACGGCCCAATGGCCCAGGATTCTTCTTCGCTTCAGAGGGATCGTCTGAGAGATTATGGTGTTTTTTGAGATCCTTGGAGGGCTTTTTCACAGCCTGTTGCTCCTTACCAACATTGTCAGATTTCCCAGAGTGCTGTCTGTGTTTTTCCAAAGCCTGGTGATGTTCAGCTAGCTTCACAGTTGTATGGCTGCCATGTATTTGTGTGTCTGCATTCCTGTTTGTATGTCTATCCTCCCATCTGCCTGCCTGTCTGTCTGCAGCTCGTCTGTCACTTATTAGGGTATCTGCTGGAGCGGGGATATGTGCTGCTGTGTATTTTCTTCTTTCAAGATGAATGTATGCCTGTGCAGTGTGCTCTACCACAGCACTGTGGTTGCCTGGCTTAATTCTATGCTTTGGCCCCTTGTTGTGGACTGTAAACTCTGGGAGATGGGGACGCTGATGACTGGTTGAGTGCTGGATGGTGCCTGCCATTTGTTTTCTTTTGGAAGCAATGCTTTTGGTTTTGCGTTTATTTCTGCGCAAGTCTGCATGACTTCTCTCTTTGATGCTGTTTTTGTCATCGCCAGCAGCATCCCCGAAAGGTTTAGGTGCCACTGAATGTTTAGAAGTCTCTTTATGAGTGCTGGATTTCCAGATGTGAGCGAGCAGCTGCTGCGAGGCAGCGACTGGAGGGAGCTCCATGACCCTGGGCCTGGAGCCGAACTCCCCCGCTGAGCTCAGGGCTCGAGACGACCGCCGGTCAATGTCGGCGGGCGGCATAGGAAGAGGGAGAGTCATCGTCATAACAGAGATCGTGAGGAAGAGGAGGAAGATGGGGGAGAGAAGGAGCAGCCATTTGTGACCACAGCAGAGTTTTGACCACGCTCGCCAGGCCTGGAAGAAAAAAATAGACAAAAAGAAAAAAGACAGAAACACTAGTTAAAGGGAGACCAACAGAACCATGATTACAATGGAGCAGTACCATAAATTGCACTGATAGCATTTGAACTAAACAGAACAGAGCGCTCGGATTCCTGTGGGGTTAACCAAAGGCTGCGCTGAGATCTCTTGGCTCCAGGCATGTGGAAAGTAAATGTGTTCATGATTCACACTCTGCAAGGGGACGGGAGTAGAAAAAACAAACTGTGCTTTGGCACGTTATTCTGTTGAGTTCTGTGATACCACAATAGTGATGTGTGACCTTTTGAGTGCTTATTGCCCAAAATGGAAATGAGAGAGAAAAGCAGGAATCTGGTGACAAAGAGGGAGCAGAACTAAAACATCCTGTTTATGCTGCACAAATCTGAATATGCAAGCAGTAGAATATAAAGCGTGTGTCAGCCGGGCTCTGTGTTTCCAGTAGCTTACAGCAGAATTGGACTTATCCAGCTGAGACAATACGATTGTGGTGCGCCCATAATTCAGTGCTGCCTTCTGCACGCAACGCACAGCGAAGGGGGAAAAGCCATATTTCACACAATATGCTGTCACAGCCCCAATATGGCTTACTGTATACTCAGTGAAGGCGCTATAAAAGTGATTTTGCTGAAGGAACTCAAAGTGCTGGCTCTTTATTTACTGTGCAGTACCTGACATATTATGCACTCCTTCCATGTGATGCCTTTAAACAGAGGCAGCAAACTGCGGCTCTATGAAACTGACATCCAAATAATAAAACCAAAATAAGGCCTTCAAAAGATTTATTGTCGACTATTTCAGGGTTTGTGTTGGAAGAAGCCTCTATAGCAACACTTATTCTATGTGACAACAAGCGTCTCAACAGAAACTACAAATAAGATTGTCTGAGGAAGGCTGGCGGCTCCCCTACAGACAGGGTGGCCTACACTTCATGTTCAGTGGAAAGATAAACAGCAGAGGAAGCATAGACCACTTATCCCAATAACGAAGCTTCCTTTCATTCCCAAAATTGGAATCGTGCCCAAACGACATAAGAAACCTGAACCCAATAGTGTGCGCTCTATTTGTATGCCCCACTTTTTACCCTCACCTATAAGTGAAGCCAGAGGTGAAAGGCTGCCGTTTTCATTTCCCAGCAGGATGACCCAGATAACTGCTGCCTCTCCTCTCTGCCCCTGACTGCTCTCTCCCTCTCTGTCCTCCTCTCCATTTGGGTGAATGCACAGTGAAGGAATGTTTCAAACCCTTGAGGCGTCCTCCTCATCTTAAGAGCCGTTAACAACATTCCCAGATCCCTCCACCTGTGAAAGGATCCCATTATTCTTCCGCTGGACTGGAATGCCCTGCACCAGGCTGAGAGAGCCTGACATATTATACACACTCATACATACACAGCAGAGGCTTGGACAGTGCATGTCTCAGACTCAAATGCATATCTAACCTCTCAGAAAAATCTTTTTAAATGCCAAAATGAATGGTACCACTGTACTGATACTATGGAATCTGAAGTGCTTTACAGAGGCAACACAATGAATACTAATCAGCTCAAAACTGCTCAAAGGAGGTACATAGAGCAATTTAATGTCATTGAATTATTGCAGCACTTAGTGTGAGACTTTGGTAAATCACACTAAATGAATGCAATCACTGCTGAGAGGATTGGCAGCCTCTACTGACCTCTAAATGCCTTTCTATATTTCACGCCACTGTGTCGGATTTCACAGCAAATATGCCTCTGCCTCACTCCAGTGGGATGAGCAACGAGGTAACAGCCACTTCACTTACATTTGTTTATTTTTTATTTTTTTATACGCCCGCAAATAGTTATTTGAAGGCCAACAATGTAAACATATTCTCCAGACATGTATTTAGACATATACAAATAGTCTGTTTGGAATAATAATGTGTGTCAGATTAAAATTAAAATTAAAATCTTAAAATAGTTAAAAAGGCATCTCTGTTCCTTCTGGCTCAGGGTAAACCTTTTGTCAAATATACTACATAGGCTACTTGCTGTGAATTTCCAGTAAATTTGTCAATACCACTGGACAAAAAGGACTTCTATCTGGAAAGATCTAATGGTATCCAAGTTTATGGAAATGTATCCAGACCTGTATATCATATATCACATTATATAAAAATAAATTCTGTTAAAGATCTTTTGGATATGGATATCTATCCATATCCAAACATATCACCACCTTGAATGCTATTGTATTTTTGTGCATTTATTCCACAGCAAGATCTTTCACATTACTCATGATGATCAGCTGTACATATTACATTTTTATAAGAATTATATCTTTACGGTTTTGTCTATCCTTCTCCTCAGTAATAATAACATTATACTCACTAGTGTTATAGCTGTGAAATGGTCTGATCTGGGAATGCACCATCTCTACAAGGAGTCAGAAAGGGCAAACACAGGACGAGCAGTAAGATAACCACTCAGGTTTTAAACAAACCTCCAGGTTATTTGGAACATAACACAAAGACTATAATTATTACCCAAACTGTCTGTTGTAAACATTAATCCTCAATTTCGATTTTTACTTCTGATCTGGCTAAATGTTGGCTGTCTGATGATGGGACATTGCTTGTTTGCTTTGCCCGTTGTAGCATCGCAGCTGTGCTCCCAGATCTCAGTAATCACTCTGTGGAGTATGTTTTTATGAATTATCCTTTAAGGCTGCTGCAACAACTCTGTGGATGTACATGAGAGTCCACACTGATTCACCGCTCACCAAGTTTCAACATGTGCTGATAAAAACTGGCATGTAAATGTGTCCGTGCTGATTCCTGACATGAGGACACCACTGCTATTATCACAAGCACAAATACATGAGTCACTGCATATTAATGTGGCAGCGCTTCACTCTTGTTTACCCAGTGGTGTACCATCTCTGCTCCTATCCTACATCTCCCTCTTTGCTAGCACTTGCTTTTGGCTGAGCATTGCTAATTAGCGTCCAAGCGTGTGCATCTTAGTGTGGCTTAGAGTGAAGGTGTTGACGCGAGAGTGTTGTTGTCTTGCTTTTTAACACCTCTCTCTGGCAAACACGCACGGCCGGGCCACGGCAAGGGTCAACAGAGGGTGGCGTGAATGCAGCTGGGAACTGGTGCAAGAAAAAACACACTGTTGTTTCATGTGATGTGGTTGGCTGTACTTTAGGTTTCTTGACAACGCCATGCACTCTGGCCTGCAGAATGAATACTTTAGGAGAAAACAGTGAAATGATGTAAACACCGGTTTCCCACAGTATGGGGAGAAATTATTTATGGGTACATGCTTAGACACACACACACACACACACACACACACACACACAAAGTGCTTGCTTTTGCGATAAGGATTACATTTTCTTTAAAGGCGGGAGGTTACAGAGTCTAAGTTATTGTAACAGTTTGTCTTTTCTTTCAAAAAGAAAAATGACACTGTTACTGGCAAGCTAAAGATATTTTCCACTTGTTATCTCTCTACGTTCTCGTTCTTTCTGACAGGTTATTTCTGTCTTTGTTCCTCCCTCTTTGTCTGGCTCCACTCTTCTCACTGTGCTGCTCTGACAACAGCCGAAGGCCAGCTCCCCCCTGCACACACACACACACACACACACACACACACACACACACACACACACACACACACACACACACACACACACACACACATAGTGTATTTATATATATATATATAATGCACATACACACGTCTTCCCCTAATAACCTCCTGCCCGCTCCGACAGGCCCGGTGTCTGACTATCTGACAGCTCCCTCTTTTTTCCTTCCCTTTCTCTTTTAATATTCCTCCTTTTCTTCTCTCCCAGCTGAGAGCTGCAGGGGAGGTATGCAGCATTAGGTCGAGACACGCAACAGGTGCTGCAGCCAGCCAGCTAGCCTTTAGGAGGAGGAGGAGGAGGAGGAGGAGGAGGAGGGGCGAGAAAGTCTGGTGACAGAAAACTGTCTCATTACACCATCTCAACTCTGAGACCTTTTATCAGTGGATGAAGTATTCAGATCCTTTTACTTAAAGATCCCCTCCAGACATGTATTAAGACATATATACAAATAGTCTGTACGGAACAATAATGTGTGTCTGATGTTTAAGTATAATTTCCTTCACACTTTCAAACTTGTACAAGTTGCATACTGGACCAGGACTGACTTCCAAACCATTTATGCTCATAAATCATGCTCATATTAAAATCAGATGTTCAATAAGCACAGAGAAACTTTCCACTTTCAGCAGATGAATGTGAAAATATCCTTCTAGTGTCAAACTCTGCATAGACAGCATTCAAACAGCACACTGTAGGGACAATAGAGAAACACTGAAAAATGATTTGACTAGAGGGGGGACTAGAGTAAAAGTATCACAATGTAACAATTCTCTATTACAAATACAAGTCTTGTATTGAACATTCTAAGTATAATCAGGGAAATTTACTGCCACAGTAAAGGTACTCAATGCACAAATGTCCCCTGTGAATGTCATTAGAGTATTATACTCTTGTAGTTGGGGTGAATGGGTGGTTTTATACAAGACTCCAGCTAATTATTTTCCTTTTGATTGACTGATTTGTATTTCAGAAAATATTGACTATAATAGTGAATATTTGTTAGTAGTAGTTCAAACATCAAAATAAATTAAGATGATCAAAATAATTTCAAGCTAAAGCAGTGAATCCTCACATTTAAGGAACCCTATTTTCTGATGTTTGTGTCTAATAACTAATGGGGACAACAACTTTTGCAGTTACTCCAGTGTTGAGCCGGAGCGCTGCAGCTGACTCTATTATGGAAAGGAAGAGAGTTAGATGTGAAAGTATTCTGGCTCTACAGGCTGTTTCTCTTCACTGCTGCTCTGATTTATTTCGACCAAACCAGGGTTGGTGATTGTTGGAACAGGGGGAAGACTAACCAAGGTTTTGGTCAGTTATATTTTCTTTCTGCTGAGTTCGAATGAAGAGTCACGTTCC